GGAGCCCTGCACTAACCCCTTGGGGTGTGATGTCTGAGGCTTCCTGGGGAAGCACTGCAGGGATCAGTGCAGCCCTGGGACACACGGAGGGAGCGTGTCCAGACAGGTTTCCTCTTGGAAGGCAAAAGCAGCAGCTTTGTCCTTTCTGGGTCTGAGATTAGTACAGCTCATCCCAGGAGAGTGTGCTGGGGAGTGGGGAGGTGCAGCAAACCAAGAGCTGGTGGTCATGGTGTGACTGGGCAGAGGAGCATTGCTGGGTCATTGAGAGGCTGAGCAGAGCTGGGGTCTCTTCCTCTCCTTGCCACTTGCCTGATCTTGGGCAAATAACTTATCACCTCCATGATCTTCTGCAAGTTACCCATGAATCAGAGCTTGAATTCCCCAGGATAATAATCCCTGCAGGTGACACAGCCCCTGGTCTTCCATGGGGAGCAGCTGAGTGAGAGCAGATCTCAGTGACCTGCAGCAGCCAGAGCAGATGGTTGTGTCCAGGGGCCTGGGAGGAGGAGGCTGGTCCAGAGCAGCCACATGGAGCCACGGGAGGCTGGTCCAGCTCACAGAGCTGCTGGAGCATCAGGCAGATGGTTCCTGGCACCACTTACTCCTTGGGCACCAGGGCTGGAGTGTGGCACCAGCCACCAGGCCATGGAATAGGTGTTACCAGGACCTGGAGCCACAGTCCAGTCTGCTCCCAGTTTGTTCAACCTGAAAGGAGCCTGGGGCAATGAACATCTGAGCCCCAGGCTCTGCTAGTGTCACCAAAGTTCTTTGAGACTTTCACCAACACTTTAATAATGGATTTTCAGAGCTATATAGAAAATCACCAGGGGTTTTCAAGCTGCTTCAGGTGGGGCTGACAGCAGTGGAGCTGTGTTGTTGGTTTGAAGGAGCAGTGATATATTCCCCTTCATTGTTCCCTCAGGCAGCCTGGCCTTTTCTTTAATTTTGCAATCCAGATTGCAATTATTTTTCAGTCCCAGTTTCCACCTAATATGTCATCCACCCTGTGCTCCTCTCTTAAAACATCTAGTCATGAAGAAGACCCTTTGATGTGGTTTCAGTCTTCCTCTTGAAATCAGTTGTGCTCTGCCTTCTGCCAGGGTTCTGAACATGTTGCTGGGTGCTTCCCTGTGTCTTCTAGGAATCAAAATACTATTAATATTTGACACTTGGAGTCTGCCAGGCCCCCATGTCCTGTCTGTGCAGTGACAAGCCCTCAGTGCCTCACCCTGGCTGGGAGGATAAACAGAGTGAGAGCACAGTGGGGTGGCCTCAGCTCTCACCTCCTCCGGAAAGTGAAACCAGGGTGTGAGTGCACAGCAAGCAAACAGCTCCTCCTCACACCCCTCCTGCCTCTGAAAAGTGTCTTTTGGACAAATCGATTTTCATTCCTCTCAAAAAAAACAGGAGACCTTGTTCATGGGGCACAGGCTTCCAGAGAGCACCCAGAGCAGCTGAGCTGCTGAAAATTCCCCAGTGGTGCTTCAGGCCTGGGGCTTTGGAATGGATTTGGAGTTGGAAGAGAGTGCAGAGAGGGGATTTGTGCTGGGTCTGGGCTCATTCAGTGCCCTGCTGGCTTCTTGCAGCTCCTGCAGACCTTTTAGGAAGTGGGAGGGAGACAGAACACCCTCCCTGGGTAATAGTTTCTGGCTATTTCACTTGGTCTAACAACAACCTACAAAACTCTGCCAACTCGTGAGGCTTTGGAGCTGGAAAGGTGGCACTGGTGGGGCAGAGGAAGGTGTCTCTGCAGGGGGGAGCACTGGGTCTTCCCAGGTCTGCTGTGGCTCTGTGGTCACCCCCCACCAGACACATCCAGGAGGCAGTTGCTGTGCTCGGGGGTCTCTCTGGGTGTAGCTGTGCCTGGTTCTGTTGATGGAGGTAGGAGCAGCCTGTCCCCGCACAGGCTTCCAGAGAGCACCCAGAGCAGCTGAGCTGCTGAAAATTCCCCAGTGGTGCTTCAGGCCTGGGGCTTTGGAATGGATTTGGAGTTGGAAGAGAGTGCAGAGAGGGGATTTGTGCTGGGTCTGGGCTCATTCAGTGCCCTGCTGGCTTCTTGCAGCTCCTGCAGACCTTTTAGGAAGTGGGAGGGAGACAGAACACCCTCCCTGGGTAATAGTTTCTGGCTATTTCACTTGGTCTAACAACAACCTACAAAACTCTGCCAACTCGTGAGGCTTTGGAGCTGGAAAGGTGGCACTGGTGGGGCAGAGGAAGGTGTCTCTGCAGGGGGGAGCACTGGGTCTTCCCAGGTCTGCTGTGGCTCTGTGGTCACCCCCCACCAGACACATCCAGGAGGCAGTTGCTGTGCTCGGGGGTCTCTCTGGGTGTAGCTGTGCCTGGTTCTGTTGATGGAGGTAGGAGCAGCCTGTCCCCCCTTCCCCTGCAGACCCCCCGTCTGCTGCACTTGCAGTAAATCTGCAGGATCACGAGCCCTCCCTCCCCACCCCCCCAGCTGCCTGCTCCTGCCAGCTGCAGACATCCCCATCACTTGTTGACACACACTCACACATGCTGCGTGGTTTGGGCTGCAACATCTGGTTTGCTCTGGGGTTTGTAATCAGAGCCCTGGATGCCAGAGCCTCCCCACACCCCCGGGTCAGGTGCTGGGGAGGGAGCACAGCAGGGCAAAGAGCTCCTGATTGCAGACGCTTCTGGAGGGAGGGAGACTTCCCAGGTTTCCCACTGTTATTTGAGCTCTGGGCATCTACCCAGGAAGGGCTTGGAGCTGACAGATCCTGGGAACCTCAGCAGTGCTCCTGGCTCAGGCAGGTTCCCAGTGACGGGGCAGGGATTGGGGGGGGGGGGGGGAGGCTGATGATCACCCCTGCTAATCAAAGGTCTCAGCGTGGGTATTTGCAGTAAGAACCCCTGAGCCTTTTAGCATCCCTTGTCCTGACACAAGTGGGAATCTGCCAGTGACATCAGAGACTTAAAGCCGTGGTGCTCAGCCCATCTGTCTCCTCTCCCAGCCCCCAAGGAGCAGCAGCTCAGTGCTGGAGGCTGAGGGAGAGGACGTGGGAAAGGTGGTGAGTGGCTCAAACACAGAGATGCTGCAGCTTCTGCAAGTGCTCCAGCCCAGAGCTCCTGGGGACACTCTGCAGTCCCCCACCCAGCCATCCAGCTTGGAAAGGCAGCTGGTGCTCACAGCCTGCCTTGGGGGGCTGCTTCAGCACCTCACCCTGCTGGGTTTGGGCTTGGGGAGCTCCTGCTCTCCTCACACTGTTCCTCCATGTGTCCTCCCTGCTTCCCTTCCCCAGTAGTTTAATCCAGGGCAAAGCTGCTCCAGCACCCAGCTCCCCCACCCCTTCTGTATTTCTTCAGTGGTTCCCTCTAGGAGCTCCTGCCACCAATCAGGAGGCAGAGAGATGCTCTTCTGATTGCCTATAAATAAGTGAATGAAGAGCTTGGGTGCTGCACAGGAGGCCAGGAAACAGCTACAGCCCCTGGGGGACAGCGAGTGCAGGGGGTGGGGAAGGTGCATGACTGTGCTTGGGCACCTGTGGGACTTTATCTCAGCTCTCCCAGCTCCTGCTTTGAGGCAGGAGTTTCCCCATCAGGCTGTCACCTCCAGCTGGGGCAGCAGGTTTATTCTGGTGGCATTTTTCTCTTGGACGCTTCAAATAGACCTTCAGACTGTAGCTGCTGCTTCATTTTGAGAAAGACCTCTCACTTCCTTAGTGGTTCCCTGTTTTTCAGCCCCTGCAATGTGTCCTCCCCCCCACCTATTTGCAGCCCAGGGAGCAGGGCTGGTTCTGCTCACACACAGGTTTCCATGCTGGGGAAGAGCTGGTGACCCAGAGGCTGAGATCTCAGTCTCTGCACAAGGCCAGCAGCAGGCAGGCAGGTTTCTCCAGTTCTGCTCCCTCTGGGCAGCAGCCCTGAGCTGGAGAATCTCCTTCCTCAGGGAGATGATGGGACTGCAGCCTCCTCACTGTTGTTAATGTTGGCGTGATGGCAGCAGACCCCTCCCTTTCAGAGCAAGGCCATGTTGTGCTTGGCAGACCACGTGTGTCTCCTGGAAGGTTCTGCTCCTGCCCAGAGCTTGCAGGCTCCATGGAGCAAAGTGGGAAAGAAACAGAGGCACAGGGAGGGGGAGTGATTTGGGGTGGTTTCTGTTTTCCTTCTCTTTGCTCCTCTGCAGCAGCACTTGGGCCCTTGCCCCAAATTCAGGCTCTCTGGAAGGGCTGCTAGAGAAGGGCCCTTTGTGGTGAGAAGGGCTGGTGGTTGTACCTTCCAGGTGTGTCTGCCATGACCTGCTTGGCAAACAAGATCTAGGACAGCATTTGGCAGGGGGTGGGAAAATCCTACCCCCAAAATATCTGGGAGTCTTTCAGGGAGGTCTGGGAGGTCAGATCAGCCCTACAGGTGAGTGTGTCCATTCCCCACCTTCAGCTGAGCCAGCTCAGCCTCTCTTACCCCCCCTTTTTTTTTTTTTTCATTCCCCTTTAATTTTGCAATTAAGATTTATTTCCCAGCTCAGATTTCCCCCTTCCACCCTGCGCTAATTCATTACTTGCCCTGCACTCCCTTCCTGACACTCTGGATTTAGAACATGTCTTCTCATGTGGTTTCCCCCTGCCCTTCTGTGGCCTCGTGCACCTTGTGCAGAGCTCCAAAGAGGTGAATTTATGGGGGGGAAATTTGGGGCTTTGCATTTCTGCTGAGGCATGAGCCATCTCGTCCGTGAGCAGCCTCAGGACTTCCCACAGCCCCCAGACACTGCTCCCCTTTCCCTCCCCAGGCAGATGTGGAGAGTCAGAAAGATTTTCATGCTCCCTCTGAGCTCATAAATCAAGAAGGCTTAATCTCCTACATCCAGGAGTCTGTGATGAGAAAATACAGATTCCCCCTCCTCTTCCCCCCCCCTAATTTCCACCACTCCCTTCCTCCTGTCTTTCATATTCCCGGCACATCTGGTGTGTGTTAGGCTGCCAGCTGTTGCATTGTGCAGAGTGATTAAACCATGTGGGAGGAATGGGGAGAGATTTTTATCTGGGCATTCATGAGTCTGCATTACAAGCTCTTTTTTCTTTAGCTCTCCCCAAGAAGAGGTCATCTGGAGTCAGGGATAGTGGAATGTAAGAGAGGTCTCGTGCACCTCTGTGTCTGCTCAGGGAGGAATAAAAGATGTTTGCATGAATGTACAGGTGGTGTCTTTTGGGCTGTAGCCATCACGTTAGAGCTGTACCTAGAATATTGGCTTGTTGCAGGAACATCTTGCAAGAAGTGATCTTTGAACACTGCTAGTTGGGCTTTGAAGTCACTTGGAAGGTGAAGGATTCATATCCGAGCGTGGGTGCCCGGGGGGATCTGGTTTTCGGTTCATTCCACTTCTCCCCCTGCACGACTCCCACACTTCTCTCTCTCATCCCAAGCTCCTGGATTTCCTAGCATCTGGCCAGCCTCTTCATCCCCCTTGCTTCCCTGTCTCCTGAAGGCTTATGTGGGGTTTGGGCAGCATCTGTTGCTGCATCATCAGATGCTGCTCTAAGCGTGTCACTGTGGAATATTTCCTGTGGGTCTGGGGAGCCCTGGGCTGGCAGGGGGGGCTGCAGGGGCTGCCCTGGGGGACCCAGGGAAACTCCTCTCACAGCACAAGAACCAGCAAATTCTCCCAGGTGGAACAGCTTTGCTGGGATTAGCACACCTGAGAGATGCAGCTGGAATATATGCTTGAAGCCCAGCCAAATTTGGGTCTTATTGGGGCTGAACAACCCTCTGAGGTACTTCCCTCTGCTGACAGCACCGGGAATCTCTGCTGCCGGTGCCCTGATTGTCAGTGCCCTGCTTAATTTCCTGCAGTGAGATGGGATGAGCATAATCCCTAGGAGTATAAAGCCTGGTGCCACCAGGCAGCAGGAGAAGTGTTGCTTTTCTCTCCTGAGTGCCTGAGTGTGGGCAGAGGGGGCAGGAAGAAGTCTTGGGGGGGAGCTGGTGAGAAGAGCCCCTGCTGCTGCCACATCTGGCCTGAGTGAGTCCCCTCTGTGTTTGCTGCTGCCAGGGCCCCCCTGGCCACCATGAGGGGAGCAAAGAGACCTCGGAGGTCGGCAGGTCGGAGGTGAAAGGCAAGAAGTCCTCAAGCCATGGCAGCAGCCACAAGGGGAAGAAGACGGGAAGTGGGAAAAGCTCCGTTGGCTTCAGCTCAGCTTCATCCAGCGGCACCTTCCAGCCTGCAGGTGAGGGCTGGGGGAGGAGGGGGGGGATGTTCTGCTTTGCTTCTCTCTGATAGATCTGTAGAGATCCCTGCTCACCAGCCAGAGCTCTGACACTTGGCTGGTGGCTGTTTCTTTAACCCTTTGAAGAGAAAGGGAAAAGTCTTGTTGCTGCTGATCCCAGCCCAGAGGGAAGAGCCCGGCTGGAGGAGTCTTACAGCTCCCCTCCCGGGCAGGGCTGCTGCTCTGCCAGGGAACACAGACCCAGGTGTCTGGGAGGAGGGAAGGGACAGTGTGCACAGGCAATATGGGCAGCACCTGCCCTCTCCTCCATAGGTGGTGCTGTCTGCAGCAGTGCTTGGAGGAGGACTAGGGAGAGACCTGAGCCAAAACCTGATATCCAGGCTCCCCTGAGCTCTGAGTCAAAGCCTTGCAGGGCTCCCATCTGCTCTCACCTTGCTCAGCTCTTTTTTTTTGAGCTGCTACCCTCGTGGTGAGCAGGTTTCATCTCCTTGGACCCTGCTTGGGGCTGGAGGGCCCGTGGTGATGCAGGGCCTGGGGCAGCAGACACGTGCACATCTGGGTGGGATGAAGGTGCTGGTGTGGACCTCTCGTGCTTGCTAGAGAGCATCAAAGCAGTGGGGGGTGGAGCAGGGCTGGAGGGTGGCAGAGAGGTCCTTGATCCTGTATGAGAGGTCCTTGATTCTGCTCAGTATGATCCTGTGCCAGAGGGACTGCTTTGTGATCACGCTCCTGCTGCCTTCAGGGCTGAGCTGCTGCCACCACAAGCTTTCCTAGAGTCACTTCTGCTTCCCCCCCCAGGTACCTCCTGCAGCACCTTGCAGTGCCCCCAGGACTTTGTGACATTTCCCAAGCTCGAGCAGGACGACGAGAAGTACCGGAAACCTGTCTCTTCCTCCTCTTCTTCCCACTGCTCCCCTCTGTATGAAGGCCAGAAGGGGGACATCTTTGAGCAGAAGGTGATCTTCTCGGGCTTTGGCTCCATCATGCGCTTCTCCACCTCGGCTGTGAGCCAGCAGAGAGCCCGGGATGCTTCCCCTGTGGACTATAAAGCCTCCAACCCTGGCAGTGGCCCCTCGGTGGGGACCAGTGGGACCAGTGGCAGCAGCAGCAGCCCGTCCCTCAGCATGGAGGAGGGAGAGGTGCTGAAGGAGAAGAAGCACAAGGGTAGCAAGAAGAACAAGCACGGGCCTGGCAGGCCCAAAGGGGGCAAAAGCAAAGAGATTTTGGGTGCCCAGCTGGCTGGGTCCACCTCTACTTCTTCATCACCCTTCTCTGGGGGTTCTCTTGTGAGCTCCAGCATCAGCAACTCTTCCCGGTCCTTCAGCCACACTGGGAACCTGCCCAGCCTCAGCATGGAGTCCCCACTGCTGGGTTCAGGTACGTTCCCCCTCAGGGTTTCAGGTGTGCACTGCTGTCCCAGCTCTGCTGGCGTTTTCCTCACGCTTGGCTGGTGTCTGGACCTGTCTGCACAGAGTCCAGTCCCTTCCCTTCCATCCCTGGAGCTATAAAAATCCACATCTGGGTCTCCCCTTTGCATCTGGGCCTTCCTCCTAGAATCTCCTCTGGGGCAGCTTCTCTGTCACCAGAGCTGGGCTGCAGGGCTGAGCTGGGGGGTATTTTCAAACCCTTTTTGCTCAAGTGCTGGGAAACCTCAGCTGAGCAGAGCTTGATTTCCAGAGCCGTGGGATGTTCCCAGGCCAGATGGAGCAGCCACAGCCTGACCCCAAATGAGGGACTCTCATAAGTGGCTCAGGTTTAACCCCCTTTTTAAAAAGCAAAACCTCTCATCTTGGTCTTACCACAGCCACGTAGGGTTGGGAGGCTGGCACAGCATTAACTCTGTTGAGAGGCTCCCAGTTGCTCCCAGCTGCTCCCAGCCTGAGCCCCCTTCCCTGGCCTGGCAGGGGTGGGGGCAGCCAGGACCTGTGGCAGGAAGGGGTTAAGGAACAGGCAGAGGAGGGGTTGAGGTTTGACACTGCTCTGGCAGCTCAACTTGTCGTGGGTCTATTGTGGGTTGTTTGCAGATGCTCCAATTTAGGTCAGATTGCAAGAGGGTGTGTGTGGGGGGGAGGCAGGATTTTGTGATGTGTGCCTGGGAGCCCTGGCCTGTCTGCACCTCCTGGGAGAGGAAGAGGAGCTGCAGGAATTGATGCAACTGCCACAAGGATGAACCTGGAGCCGTTTCTTTTTTTTCCCCCATCTGGAACAGCAAAGGGCTGTTTCAAGGAGCAGTTGGGCCCTGCTCTCCTGCCTGCTCGTTCTCCCATTCCTCTCCTGTGGGGAGGTGTTGGCTCTGAAGGACCTGGCTTTGGGCACTGCCCCTTTCCTGAGCCCCGGGGAAAGGGTCCCCTCCCTCAGCAGCAGCTCTGCTGGCCCTTCCTCGTTTGTCTGGTCCCTGGGTGGCACAGAAGGGGACAGGTAAGCTCAGCAGGAGTGTGGTTGGTCTCTTGCCCAGCCTGAGCAGCAGAGTGGGGCTCTGGGTCCTCTGTCCCGTTCTGCCACGGGTATGTTGGGGTGTGAGGAGCAAACCAGAGGGGGCAAGGCTGGGGATGCTTGTGCTGCCGTTGGGCTGTTCCCCCAGTGCAGGGCACACCCTGGGACACTGAGCTGCGCCCGGTCCAGGTGCTCTGGTGCCCCCTTCCCTTGCTGAGCTCCAGCCCAAAAGCAGCAGCTCCCACGCCACGGGTGGGGGATCCCTAACGTGTCTCCTCCCCTCGCAGGGATCTACACCAGTAACAAGGACCCTATTTCCCACGGGGGCGGAGTCCTCCGCGCTGTGTGCAGCACCCCGCTCTCCTCCAGCCTCCTGGCACACCAGGGAACCTCCTCCCTGCCCCAGCTCAACCGCTCTCCCTTTGCCAGCACCATCCCAGCCTCCTCATCCTCCGTCTCCACCACGCAGGTGAGAACACCAGGACCAGGAGAGGAGCTGTAGCTGGGGAGGGAGCAGCCACAGGGCCGGGCTGTGGGCACAGAGGAGTTGGCTTTTCCACTTGGGAAGCAGCTGCTCTTCCTGCAGGTTGGAGTTCGCAGCTCCCCTTAGGGGTGGGTAGAAGATGTAGGTGGGTTTGTGGCCTCTTTTGGGGTGAAACTCTGACCTAAAAGGACTCGTTGCTTTCCATGGGCTGTTCAGGGAGCAGCAGCCTGACTGTTCCCTGCTGCTTGGCTGGATCCTGCCACCAGTGCCAGCCCTGCCCTCACCCTGCAGCACAGATAACTGGGTGGGAGGGTCTGCTGGGTGGGCTGGGTGTGTGCCAGGAGACTGAGCCTTGTCCCGGGTCAGGAGCGAACTGGGAGGGGTGTTTGACAGGGAGGGGAGAGCAAGTTTTACAGCCTCAGTGTTCACAGGGCTTCTTGAGACCTGTTGGCTCTGAGATGGGGCTGGGAAGACTGAAATGTCTGGAGTTCTTTTTAACACTCGCGAGCAGTTTGGGTTCAAGAGTCAGGAAGAGTTGGAGCAATGAAGCTGTTTTCCTCTTGCATTTTTGGGAAGTAATTTCTCTCCCTCCTTGTTTTGCCATCTAGGTGTTCTCCCTGGCAGGTTCAACATTTAGCCTCCCTTCCTCACACATCTTTGGGAGCCCCCTCACCTCTGGGCTGTCCATCAACCCCCTCCTGAATCAGTCGGAGAGCAGCCGGGCAGGTAGGTCAGCCAGGAGGGGTGTGAGTCTGGGCTCCCACAGGGCTCTCCCTGGAAGCAACCAGACAACTGCATCCATGGTTCTCCAGCTGCTTCTTGCTCCTTGCTTCTTGTCCTTCTTGCTCCCATCCTACGGGTGAGAGAGCCAGGGGCTGGGAGACTTTTTTTCCCTGAGGCAGAGGGTGCTTGTGTTTGCCTTGATGCACTGACCTGCACAAGCACATTTGCTGGTGTGTCCAGTGGATAATGTGTGTCCTGGCCACGTGCTAGAGCAGTGCAGGGATGTGAAATCCTCCCCTGCAGGAACTTGGTGTCTTTTTCCACGCTAAAGCTCGAACAGACCTAGTGAAAACTGCTGAGAGCTTTTGCTTGTGCCAAGTAAGTTGAAAGTTGTGTGTTGGGCTTTTGTTTTCTGGGTTTCTATTTAAATCAGAGAGAGCTCATACTCTGAATTTTCATCTTCCATTTCTGTTTTGAGTTACTTTCTGCCCTTCCCCTTTGGCTTTGTCATGAATGCAGGAACATCCACTGTTTTCAGCTCTCAAATATGAACGTGCCAACGCTGAATTATTTAAAACTGCTCATTTTTTCCCACCAAGGCAAATGCATTTTTCTTGGAAAATTGCCTGGTTAGTAAGCAGGAAACATGAAGCAGCATAAGATTGCTGCTTTTTTTTTTTTTTCTTCCCCCAAACAGAGTGGGCCTGGTTTTTGGTTTGCACCAGTAGTTAAACAAAAGCACCCTCCTGATTTTCAGCTGGTTTAATTAGTGGTGCAACCGAATCGTGCTCCCCTAGCCCAGAAACGTTGGCAGCTCAGCATGTGGGGTGCTGAACTGGGAGGTAAAACTGTGCCCAGTGTCACCCTGAGTGACATGTAAAACCCAGAGTCCTCATTAGAGGTGGCTCTGAGTTCTCTGGATCATCTGGCACCAGCGTGGATGCCTGATGTAGGGCGTGACTGAACGTGTGGGCTCACTTCTGCAAGCCCATGGAAGGTGCCTGTTTGTCTCTCCCTGTGTCCATGGGAGCATTTTGTCTGTGTGTCCCTGCTGGCATTTGAGAGCCACGGGAAGGGAACTGCTCAGCTGATCTGGGGGAGTCAGGGCCACTTCATGGGAGCTGTGAGTCAGGAGTGATTGAGTCACCTGGAACTGAGGAAAGAATGAGGTGATGCAGAGTTATCCTTCCCTCATGGCCATCCAGATGACCCACTGCCCCCCCTCTGCTGGTATTTTGGCAAGTGCTGACAGCAGGAGGAAGCCATTCAGGAATGGCCCTGGGGTTCAGGAATGGCCCTGGGCTTCAGGAATAGCCCTGGGGTTCAGGCCCAATTCCAGGCTCAGCAGCCTGGGTTCTGCTCCAGCCCTGCAGCTACTAAAGGAACAATCATGGAGGCAAAACCCAACATAGAAAGTGCTCAGAGAAGCCTGATCATTAGTTTCCTTTTCCAAGAGCAACTTGGATCTTAGAAGCTTTTGTTTGACTGGGATCTTAGAAGCCTCAGGATGTGTTTTTTCCAGTTCCAGGCAACCTTCAGAGCAGCTCCTAGTTTTTGTCAGGTTTAAGGTTTGTCCATCAGTGTCTCCTCCTGCTGGAGCTACTGGTCCACAGGGTTCTAAGCCAAGTTCTCTTTTTTTTTCCAGGGGGATTAATTAACATGTACTAAACCTCCTGTGTGAGGCCATTTTCACTTCAAAGTTAGTTTCCTTTTCCAAGAGCAACTCGGATCTTAGAAGCTTTTGTTTGACTGGGATCTTAGAAGCTTCAGGATGTGTTTTTTCCAGTTCCAGGCAACCAGAGCAGCTCCTAGTTTTTGTCAGGTTTAAGGTTTGTCCATCAGTGTCTCCTCCTGCTGGAGCTACTGGTCCACAGGGTTCTAAGCCAAGTTCTCTTTTTTTTTCCAGGGGGATTAATTAACATGTACTAAACCTCCTGTGTGAGGCCATTTTCACTTCAAAGTGTGGTGACTGCTTCACTCCCAAGTTGTTAACAGGGTGGTTGTGGAGTTTAAAGTAATCCTGCCTTGTGTTTAATTCAGATTACCCTTCCTGAGAGTGTCTGTGTAGACACATCCCATGGAGACAGATTTTTCTTGCAGACAGGGGAACTAGCAACTGATATCACTGATGCAGGTTGATACCAGGTGCCTTTGGCAGTACAAAAAGTCTGATTCTTATCTCCCACTCCCTTAGCTACTGTCTAGTTCTTCCTCCCACGGCTTGTCCTGGATCCTGCCTCCTTATGATGACAGGCCAAATGTGTTTATCTTCTCTAGTTGTTTTTAGGCCTCTTTTTCATACTTGCTGCCTTGGAAAGTGCTGTCTCCATGTGATAACTCAGTCATCAACAGGGTGGTGTTGGCCAGGAGATAATTGAATATGGAGCCTGGTGCTGTTGCAGAAATCCAGCCTCAGGTGTAAGTGCAGGCTCCCCGGGCTGCAGGCAAACAGCCTGACAGCACCAGGTCAGAGCTCATTTCATTTGGCTGCAAGTTAAAACCTGTGGCAGAGCTGCACACGGAGGGCTGGGGATGTTTTCCAAAGGGTTTAGTTGGTCTTTGGATGGAGACAATACTGAGAAGCACTGTGGGGTCATGGGCTGGAGAAGTTAGGAAGTTCACGTGCCTGGTGGTGTCCTGAAGTCAAGATTTGTCTCCACATGGTGTCTTATACTGGGAGGCTGCTGTTGACTGGTGACTGCTGGTCACCTCCAGAGAGCAGTGGCTTCTCCCCACGAGGGAGGACCAGTTGATGGCCAGGAAGACATTCCAGTGGGGGAGAAGGAGTGGGGATCCCACTCATACCTGTCTGTAGAGCTGCTGAGCAGCAGCTGCTTGTGCTCGTGCTCAGCAGTAGAAAAGCCTGCCAGGAATGAATGCCCTGCTCAGGGCATTACACTGTAAATCACAGTGTTCCCTGCAGGAGACTTCCTGGATTCTTGCACATAAGAAACGTCTCTTATTGTGTGAAGAAGAGGAGGGGCAAGTCAGGCAGCTGGTGCAGGCTGTAGTCACAACATCTGACACGTCCCAGGGCGAGGGGGACGTGTGTTCACAGGCTGGCAGGCTCTGGGGATGGAAAGCAAATGGCAGATAAATCTCCTTCTCTTCTGGATGACTCTGGGGCTGGGAGATGCCCTGCACGTGCACAGCAGCTCAGTCCCCACCGTTGCTCCTGGGATGGGGCAGCTGCTGGAGGCAGCAGCACTTGTTTCAGCTCCTGGGGAAGGGAGCTGAGCTCCTGGGGATGCAGCAGGACTCCGGCTGGGCGTTGGGAATGGATCTGGGAGGCAGAGGGCCACTTGGAAGAGCTGGGTGGCAAAGCGAAGCGTCCCCTCCCCTTCCCCGCAGCTGCTTTGTGCCCACGTTGCGGTGCCACGGACG